GTAAGTGCAGACAAGGTGTGCCAAGTTCAATGTACAGGTACCTGGGTGGATGGCTTTTTGTCTGCCTTTCCAAGGGAACGTGATCCTCTTTTCTTCAAAGAATTCTGAAACCAAAGAGAAAACGGATTAATGCAAAATGACTGCCAATAGCCACCATCACTACTATCATTAATATTATTAACATCTGTTTCAAAAGAATTGAGAAGGAAAGCAAAGAATGTAGGAAAACAGCAAAAATATTATCAGAAAGAGCAAAACAGAACAATGCTGTCTCAAAATGATCACCCACCATGTACTACATCATAATGAATCTTAATTCAAATCTAGTTTGAGGATGGGCCAGCATTCAGGGTAAACAAGTGTATTATTACTGCACACACTCAAGTGCCAAGGATGTAGGAAAAGCAAAATTTGTGTAATAAGGACATAAGCTATATTGTGTGAATAAAAAAAGAATATTTCCAAGTAAATAAAATCTTGAAGTCAAACAAACAGATCCATTTAGCATAGGAACCAACACAGATCTACAGATAAGGAAGACTGTCTTAACATTCATGGAGTAAAAGAACTCCATCACCCTTATATAGAAAGAGACAGAGATAATGGAAGTTGGGGGAGAAATATAATGCCACATAATAGAGGCTAGAATTTCTTTGTAGCAAGTCAGATTGCTTTACGACTCCTTACGTCATACAGGCACAGCCTAAAGGTTCACATCCAAAGGATGAGCTCTCATCCTAGAGAAAACATAACTCAGTGCAAGGCCCCAAAAAGAGATTACATCTTAATCACTTCAGCTGCAGCTTTACAGATGAACCATCTTTGTAAGGCAGACAAAGGCAGAGCATTATTTCATGCAAGCAGACAATCACACCCTCATCTTTCCAAGTCACTAGGCTCCCCATAACGATTAGGGTCTCTTCTTCCCCAACCATTTGTGCATTAAAATGATGGTTTGAAAGAATATCTTGATTCTTGTAGCAGAATCTTGTTAGTTGCTTGGAGGGGAAGGCAGCTATGTTCTCTTATCTAAAACCTCTTCCTACGCAGCTGTCAAGCCCTAGGAGGGGCCACTCCAGCTAATAATATTATAATAAATAATAATAAAACTTTATTTATAGACCGCCCTGTATCCCCAGGGGGACTCAGGGCAGTTTATACACAAAAAGGAAAACATTCAATGCCCAACAAATACAAAAACATTAAATCAATAAAGCATAATGCTAAATAATAATGACATTGAGCTAATCAAATAAAAATTAAATATCAAAATGAAAGACATAAACAGCTAATTGCTAAAACAAATACATTTAAAAACATTCCGAGAGCAACATTAAACAAGGGGATTATTTCTTCTCACTTATGAAGGAAGAGAGCATAAGGCATTTTCTTCTCTAGCAAGAAGATGTAAAGTAGAGTGAGCTCTGACTCTATGGAAACTGAGAAGAGAAGGAAGAAGCTAAGTAAATACAGAAACCCTTTGAAGATTCTCTGCAAGTTGCAGCAATAAATAAATTAGTCCATGAAAATTGTAGTAAAATGCTGCTTTAATAACTAAGGGCCCTTCCATTCAGCCACATAACCCAGAATATCAAGACAAAAAATCCCACAATCTCTGCTTCATACTGGGTTATCTGAGTCCACACTGCCATATATTCCAGTTCAAAGGATGCCACATTAGTCTTGAAAGCATGGGGAATCACTGAGCAGAAATAAGTACATTGCTCTCTCCAAGTCTCATTCCTAACCAGCATGTCTAAGACAACAAGTCCCTAAGTGTGTTGTAATCCTGACTAGTTCAATTCATCTGATGAACTCAGATGATTCTATGACAGGGTAAAGCAAAAGCCTTTACTAGGCTTCATTTCTGACGCTTGTGAAAGCTTTGTTTCTCCTCCCCCAATTTATGCCCCCCCCCCTTCCTCCACCTCTCTGCTGCATGAGATTTGGAAAACAGCCAGCTGCTATTAAAGAGCTCCCTATAATGAAGCACTGAAAAGGGAGTCTGTCTTCCCCACCAACACTCCCACAAAGTGGTTAGTAAACCGAGCAGAGAGATACACATCAATAACTCGTAACACGGGTCAGACCAATGCCCCTTGGATGTTGTTCTTTCCATATAAACTAAGCCAAAAACATTCACAAGCTGGTGCTAGAGCATCATAGCCAAGAAATGCAGCTGTGAAATGTGAGCCTGGCGCCTGTGCCAAGGCTCAGAGAGATCCAGGCCACTCCTATTAAGGACAAACCTTATTCTTCAAAAGCCACAGCTTCTCGTAGCAACTTGGCACACCCCAGGCAGCAAGCAAGCAGGCTATATTCTGACAGAGGGTTATGATATGGAACATAAATGGGCTGCTTGTTCCCAGCTCCAGCAGAAATCCTACACGTTTGCACTGCAGCTGTAAATGATCCCTGGTATGGTAGGGTTGGCCAGTCATTTCATCTCTCTTCACCACTAAAGCCAAAAAAAGAACATCAGAAACACTACACACATCAAGTAGCCCTGAAGTGGTGCCGTTGTATAAATCTGGTGGAAGCTTAGTGTGCTGAATGTATTAGGGGGGAGATGAGGAAGCTTTCTTCAACAGCACAGAATGTGATATATAGTGTTTTAGCACTTCCACCTAACAAAGTATTGCAACTCTTTCTAGCAGTCTCGTCAGGGCTATGGATATTCTGTTATTGCAAAAGAAGCAAAAACTAAGGAGCATCCAAAGGAATCCACTGAAGAAATGGCATACATGCTTCAATATGATCAAAACAAGATGCTCAAAAAAAGCCTAACACATTTTGTTCTGTGTATAGTATACCTTTTAAATTTTTTGGTTTTCTTCAGGGGCTGTTAAGACTCAAAGTACAAGCATTTTGAACAAGGAAATCTCCAGTCATTTACTGGATGATCGTTTTTACTTGTCCACTAAATGGTGTAAGATTTTGTGATGCAGGGACTATTGAATTCTAAATAGCCCCTGAAGAAGGCCTTAGCAGCTTGAAATTGATATGGTCTTTTAAAAAGTAACAAAACAATTTCATTTTATATTGTTGCACTGTTAGATTGCATTTATTCATTTTTATGCAAATGGCCTATAGTCTAAACATTACTAAACAGTTGCTAATAAAATTAATCATTTTTTGAACATCACGAGAAATGTCTCTAGTTTTATATTTTATCATTGCAGGATGAGGCTGAAATTATATCATGGAGGCATAGATTCTAGAAACCTAAGAATCCCAAATCTGTGACCCTAACAGATGGGCAAGGGTAGCGTGATCCTAAATGTTGATGGACTGCAAATCCTAACAGTCCCAGCTGACAGAGCTAATGGTGAAGGGTGCTAGCAACTAAATTATAATAAAACCTAAATAGCAACAAATTCCCCTCAAATTTACTCTAAGGACGTAGAATGTGTGGACCATGCATGATGAAATATTAGAAAAGGCAAGAATATTTGCCTTTTATGTTATGAACAGCCCTAAGTCCCCACTGGTAGATAGGGCAGCATAGAAATAAAGTTTTACTTACACGAGCACGCCCATTTCTAATTGTTAGAATCACATCTTTGATGTTCTCTAAATCTCAGATGTCATCCACCCATAGCTCTCTGAACTATGGAAATCAGTGATCATATGACATGCAAGTACAAAGACGACAAAACAGGTTGCAGAACTGATGCTTTCCTTCCACAATGGCTTGGATTTTTAAAAAACTATTTGTTATCACAGATAATACGTCTTTGTTCTTAGCATCCATAAACTGAGAAGAACTTAGTGAAGGCAATGTGTAGACAAAAAAAAGGGCTTTTCAAACTTGTCTGGGGGTGTCAGAAGGGGAAATAAATGAGATGTTCCATCCAGCAACATGCATCAACACTGATGTCAGGCAACATACTTTACACAGAGATAGCTGATCACAAGATAAACTCCAAATCCATTTTCTGACAAAGATGTCATTAATCCAAAGGAGGAGCCACAAAATGATGTGTGGCTTTCAAAAATATCCAGCTCTTTTAATTGGGAAAGATGGTACAAGGAAGGCAATACAATCAAATGGAGGAGAGGGCAATATAATGGTTATGGTCACGATCCTTTCAGCTAGTACCATGATTAGGATTACTGTATGCTGCTTGATTGGTTGCCAGCAGCATCAGATAAACTGGAGCGGAGTTGGTTATTACTGCTCTGCTGCCCTGCTGTTTCTAATATGTTTTTATGCTCTGATTTGTTCTTATTTGATAGTGAATGCTAACAAATGTGATTAGATTTGACTGCCACCATGTTGATAGCACCAGATACAAATATAAGATCATTTTCAGGCCCACTTCCTAGCTCAAGCATAAACAAGTCCTTCCGAATCATCTCCCTGCAGGACAAACCAAGTCACAGGTGCAAACAGGCATGAGCGTGACAATTAATTGGCCTTTCCTATACTTATCCAATTATGGGAGATGCCCTCTCCAGCTGGAGAATAATCAGCACATAATCCCCTTAGGAGCAACTGCCCCCCCCCCCATCACCGTGAGCCCTCCCACTGTTTGGCCGCCTCATGAGTGGGTGTGTGCCTTTTAAGAGGCAACAGGAAAGGCCAACGGATCTACTTATTGAGAGGCACTAATTGGACAAGTAAAAAATACCTGAAGCTGCACTACAGGCAAAATAGACTAGAAAGGCCTCTTGGGGCTCTATCTCACAGAAATGCAGCTCCTCTCGACTTCACACCAGAAAGGCCTCTTGGGGCTCTATCTCACAGAAATGCAGCTCCTCTCGACTTCACACCAGACACTGCATAAATGCAGCAGTTAACTGCTTCTTTAGAGCAGTCTAGGGCATTGCCACAATTGGGATCCCTGCCAATGAAGAGGGTATAAATAAGTTTGCTGAAAGGTGAGAAATTTCCAGGGGCTGCCAACTGAGTTTAATGGGCTGTTATCCCCAAATATTGGTACTACTTAACTTTTTAAAAGAAACATAAACTGTTATGTTATTGAATACAGACTTCTTGGATTCTATGGTTGTTTTTGCGTAGAAATTATAATCATTTTCCAACAAGCCTGGGAACTATCTTTCTCTCATAGAACAAAAACTAGTGTTGCAGTTGAAAGAA